AAAATACAAAATACATAAAGTATTCGCGTGAGATAGTTTACATTGTAATTTAATACTGATACTTTATTCATAATATAATACAATGTATTCAATATAAAAAAAAATACCTGTTACAATTAAAGCGATCCGTTTGTTTTATTATTTGACTTTTAAAAATTTCGTTTACACGGAGTTCAGTTTTGTTAATTCAGGTAATTTCTACAATACGGAAATGAATCGCGTTTGATCATGGTTGCGTGCACATACAAATCGGTTTCTCTGCATCAGCTAGATATGAGAAAGACAAAGCGCGTAATTAATTCCGCCCGTGGAAAGAAATCGAGGTGCAACCGAGCGAGGCGTTGAGAATACCGAATTCCACGCGAAATACAATCGTTCGGGCGCAAAAGCATGTTACAAAGCTCCCAGGCGTTGTAATACGAATAGCTTGATTGAGGAAAAAGTCAAGAGGAAAGGAACACAATGCTATACGGGATTACTGACCGATATTTGTCGTCCGCGACGGCAGAAATCTGCCGTCGCGCAAGTTCGAGGAACACCTTGAAAAAGCACGAAACAGAATGACGGCCGAGAGAAAAAAAAACGTTTTCGGGTCGCTGTCGCTCAGTGCTTGATTTATCTATTGTACGCGCGTACGGACGTGTCCGTATAGCTTTTCTGGAAAGAAAAAAAGTAATTTCTGCGTGCTGCTATATCCGTATGCGATGCACTCGCCGCACTAGTGAACAACTTACTTTAACTCTTTTGCGTTGAAATTCAACCCGTAGCTATTGTAGTACATTCGACTAAATCGCGGACATGTGGTGCACTTTGAAAATTGTTTTATACAATTGCAGCAAAGGGATGATTTGTACAGAAAATATTTCGTACATATCTCTCAACGTTCTGGTCGAAAATGTTGAAGTTAAAATTCAGAGATGTACAGAGATTATTTTAGAGCTATGACACAATCCTTCTGTTTGGATTATTAAACAATAACAAATACGTTGTTAAATTTCTATATAAATTCAAAATATAAATTCAACATTAAATATCAATCCAAAAAGTGTTCTTCAAATATTTTGCAAATTTTATCGATATCCCTGTGTAAATGTTCAGGCCTGCCGAAATTGCAGCGTTGTTTGTGTTTAATTACTGCTATCAAATAAAAATTACAAATATATATATTCGAATACGAAATTCGCAGAATCCACGCACAAAAGAGAACATATTTACAGTACCGCTATTTGCTATTGTCTAAACCATTATCATATACGTACTTTGCATTCATACGAATAATATCACGTACCGAGCTGCAATTTGAAATAAAAAGAAAATTATTCTCTCGCATACGGTAAATAGAAGAAATGGAATAATGTACGTTCGTCAATATTTCATTAGTTTATTGAAGAGGAAATTATCACGTAAACACTTATTAAAAATCACGACTAATTTTTCCGCGTTGCTGGACGTAAATATGACGCTTTGTTGTTCATCGTATAAATCTTTAGTATTAAGGTAATTATTCGGTTTAGCCCCCTCACTTTCAAACTCGACGAATTTAGGCTCTTTCGACGCGTTTTCGCTCAAAACGAGAGAATCTGGCAGAAAAAGTATCGCTCTGCCCCGCGAAGCGAGATATTAATTGTTAAAGTTGACCACTTTTAGGGTTACTTAAATGCAAAGTGCAGTATACTTTTGGTTAATGAAGCAGAAAATACTCCGCATTGAACTCGGTATGACAGAACTTCTAAAAGTGGTCAACTTTAACAATTAATATCTCGCTTCGCGGAGCAGAGAGCGACACTTTTTTCTGCCAGATTCTTTCGCTTTGAGCGGAAACCCGTCGAACGAGCCTAAATTCGTTGAGTTTGGAGGTGAGGGGGCTAAACTGAATAAACACCAGTATTAAAACTAAATCGACAGCTATGCCAGTGTTTCAGTAAAATTTATTATAATATTATTTGCGTGATCATACAAATGTACTGCTTATGCCACGGTCATCAGTAATAGGTAAGAAGTCCGCTTTTTATATGCCACGGCCATCACGCATACAGTAGTAGAAGTCTACTTTTTATATGTCACTGTCGCGGACAGTTTATTATCCCATTAAGAGAAGATATCACGAGGGCTGAGTTACATGCTTTCACGAAAATTTTGTCAGCAGTTTTCTTGGTGTTCAGCCAGAGTGTCACTATACGTTACTAAAGGGAGACATCGGGACACCATGGAACGGCGAGATGTCGCGACGCGATAGCGTTTGATGATAATTGAACGGACGATTTTTCTACTGAAGAATTATATGCTGAATGTGTATAGCGCAATAATAAAGAAATATTAGACAGCGCGACCGCTGTGACAGACATCTTAATTTAATCGTCTTTCCCGATAACACGAAGAAAATATATTGAAGAGATAGCAAGAATTCTCAACGGTGGAGAAACTCATTAAAAGTGTTTTTTTTTTCTTCACCTCCACGTTGATCGATAGATGAGCAAATGAAATAAACTGCTCATTAGCTTTTAGCGAACCGTGACGTTTCGATTCAATTTAATTCGCGCGGAAAACAGTGTCCTTTTTTCTCGCATTTTACCTTCTCTTCAGGGAGCCCAGCTAAATCGTGGTATTCAACGAGAAGGTACGGATCGATAAGTCAGAAATTATTAAAATGAATAAAATTATAATTGTCACGGTGAAACGAACATTTTTAACGGAATTGTTGGTAAATCGGTTAGCTATTACTTTGCAAACGCTTTCTGTATCATTCAAGTTATGTATATAGCAAGGTTACGGTACTTGCTTGGCAAGCAATAATGAAAAATTACATGGTAACGTAAGAAATTGATTACGATAAAGGAGATAAAGAAGAGTCCTGTTAAGTGGTAGTGACATCTTGAGAAGCCATTGTCATTATAAAGATTCAAGACATAATATATCATCGTTCTGTAACACATTTCATAATTCTTATTACTAAAGTTGAGAACACTATGTATATCATGACAAGAACCGTAACTTCAAGCATAGCTTAAAATTTAGAAATTCCCATTTTCTCATTTATATTCAATACCATTAAAAATACAAATAGCAATTTGACTAATTGATGTATAAAAGATAATTTATTAGTAAAAAGAAATTGTACCACAAATTCTTTTCCCTGTTTTAACTCTTCGTAAAGACTTAAAAATACTTTGCACTGACAAGAAACTCTACATAATTCTCCTTCGATTTTGATAAACTTTTAATGTAGTTCAAAATAAGAAACACATATTTTTTTTATGCGCCCAATCGCATAGGAGGGTAAACGCCCCCTTAGAGAAAAACCAGTGTCTTGAAATTATATTCGTTGAAACGAATCTTTACCCGATGAGGTGACATTCGGTAAAATCTCGGTGAGGAATAAATGGGCACCGGGAATGTTCGTTTTAAGAATCTGACAGTTTAAAAATGAATATATATATGTCTGAATAACTGATGATGGCAGGAGGCGTTTAGAAGGGCATCAAATCGTTGATGAATGCGAACTTTATCTCAATCCTCTTTGCATAGGAAGTGGTCAGGGTCGTTGTTCACTAACGCGGATAAGACGACTTCTCTTCACTTTGTAGTCTTCTATCTGTGCTCTTGCAGAAAGCGTAGAATCAACTTTAGATACTCCCATTCTCCTTCCTCCTGTGCGCTTTCTCTCTCTTCCGGCATTTCCTTCCGTTCGTCCCGCTCTTTCCCTGAAACCGCAGCACGGAGAACCCTTCAAGCCATTTTCCTAGTCGATATGCGTTGCTTCGCTTATCCTACTTATTTCTTCTCCTAAAACCTCCGTACGCCTCTTTCGCTATTTTCCGCTAAGTTTCATAGTTTCGGTAACACCGCTTCTTACCCGCGTTATCTTCCGCCGACAGTGCAAAGGATGTAAATATTTAGGATTTTCATGGCTCTTACGCTTGTGATATAATTAGGAATTTATCTCTAAAGAGAGAGAAAGGGGGAGAATATTAACGATCTTTGCGCGCCTAGAGTAAGGTGATTCCTCCCGCGCGGAACCTCGCACTCCCGCGTAAATCCCGCGAGATGAAGCTTTAATTCCTTCCCGCAAAACGTACGACGTGAACATTGTCAAATATACGAGCTTAATTTGGGAGCGTGGTCAGAGGGGACGAGCACAGTAATCCAGGTGGGAAGCAATTTCGGTTCTTCATCAGACTGCCTTATGTACTTAAAACGAAAAGAGGGTGCCCCGCGTACTATTCGCGCCCTGTTTTCCTCCTACTTTCCTCCGTCCTTTCTTTCCGAAGGTGCCGCGCGCGGCGAGGCTCTGTGGACAAAGCAATTTTTAAACCGTGTCACCAAAGCCTACGTAATAGCACAAGATTGGATTGGTGAAGTTGCGATCGTTCTGCGGGACCGCAAGAAGTGGATCTTGCGCTTCGAGCCAAAGTATGGTCAGTGTCGAGGAAACTCGGTAATCCAGATAAGATGCAACCCTATTTCTTGCAGTGAACCTCCGAGAAGGGACGACATTGCGAGAGGCGAGGCTCGTCCGATTCAATATCGCTTCATTGTTATATCGTAACGTCGCGTTTTAGGAGACTTTTAGTTCAGACAACAAATAATACATATAAAATATACAACATTAGAATTAAGATCTTTCCTTAATAAACAGCTATCTTTCCAGATCTTCACGATTACAAGCGAGTCAAGGCAGACTTTTCCCAATCTAAACTTTGTAATCAAGTAGAGTCTCTTTCGAGATTTGTCCAGACTACCGGCTTCGTACTCCCTGATGACTACACGCGTGAAACGAGATGGTCAGGGTCGCGCGAGTCTGCTAACCCAGATAGGCGGTTGTAGGCTCGTTTCTTTGTGGGGGTTGCCTTCGGCACTTGCGTAGGATGTCGAATAAGGATTCCGTGTATTTCATGCGCATCATCCTTTTCCCTTGTACGTCTGTCTCCATTTTTCCTTTTCGATACATCTTTCTCTCTCAGGCTGCTATTATCGCTCTCCCTCTCTCTCGCTCTCTCTCTCTACTACCCCTTTCGAGCTACCCCTCGAAGGCCACCCACTACCCCGCACTGCCTGTCCGCGCATTCGTCCGGGGGTGGCGGTAAGTTCTCGCGCAGCCAGTGCCCGCGCGTCTCTCGCGATCGTCGGACCGCGCGTACGTAAAACGGGGAGGTTCTCGTCGTCCTCGTCGCGCGGATATTTGCGCGCGTATCTCGCATACTGGTCGAGAAAAATTGCCCCATCTAATGCATCGGAAGTAGGTTCGATGCTCTCCTGCGAGTGGATACGGAGAGCTCGGAAAAACTACGACGCGTCGCGGGATGTTTTCGATCGTTCGACGATCGGATCGGTCGGCTCTTGCGATCTCGAAATTCTTTGGAGATCTGAACGGTGAAGGGTGAGCGCGAACTTGAAGAGAGTTCATTGCACCGCATGAGTAACATAGTGTTTCTAGCGCGGAGAAGATTTTAGCTTCGAAGAAGTTAAAAGTGTTGCGCAAATCGGAAAACCGAGTTTCACGATTTTTTGAAAGAAGCAATCAATCGATCGATCGTGGACTCAAGCGTAGAAGAAGCGCATTCCTGAATCTCTATCTGCTTTAAGCACTGACGCGAATAACGATGAAGTGACCAAGATGATGCGATTTTTATAGACGCGACAACAAAGAACGTATGGGGGGCTTTAAAATCGGGAAGAACGATAAAATGGTTAATCGTATGAAAATGCGGAGATGATCGCGATGACTCTATGAGGAAAGTGCATGGTAGAGCATATCAAGGATTAAAGGAGACAGTATGTTAGAAGCGTCGCGGTGGTTCTGAACCGGGTCGAAGTGAACGAAAAAAAGAGTTTCGCCTTTCCTGAGGGTCGTTGTTGGCTATCATGTTGTGTTGGACGAGTCTCGTGAGATGCATCGATATCTACTACATCGCATAGACGAATGTAAGTGTTGGTCTCGTAAGAGTCAATCTCGCAAAAGTTATCAGTTATTGTTATTGAGTCATCAGGTTGTTGGGAAAATTGGATGCTTGAAGAAAGTACATGTACGAGCCGATATGTTTCGATAAGAAATACCTTGTCAACAGTTTTGTGTGGAACATGACAGAAAAGAATTTGGCTAAAAATTAGCAGACTAGTCTAATTTTATTTTTAAAGGAAATAGATAACGAGTTGAAACGATTAATCTTAATGCTATTATTTCTATTCGTCGGGTATTGGTATTCAATACCCCGAGGAAGAAAATATTGAAAATCGAGTTAATACGAAAATATTTCCTTGGCTTAACTATGCTGCGGTCACGGGCTGTCAAGCAAATGTTTGTTAATTTACACAAACATTTGTTAATCTGTACAAATATATGTTTTGGTAAATCGTATGTTTAATTGAGAGACACATATGTTTGAACTAAAGAAATACTGTCAACACTAAACATATTTAGTAATGTAGTGTAATAATACATAAAATAATAGTGACAATTTTTCTCCTAATGTTATTGAAAAGTTCTCTCAGTAAATATTAAAATGTAAATGTCAATAATATTTAACTAAATGACTTTATATGGGATTAATTACTTATTACTTTCCAGCACAGAACTGCTCGTTAAAATGCTCGTAATACGCTACGATATTTTTTTTTCTTATAAGCAGCTCTAAAATCTATTGATAAAATATATTCTCCTGGGATACTATATATGCACGATGCGAAAATGATGGCGCGACAGAAGAGACGAGTGCGATGAATAGTGTTAATACCGCATCAAAAAGGCCAATCCCCTGCTGCCTGTCTGCATATCCTTGCTAACGAGTATTCAAGTATTTCGAAATAGCCTGGCAGATACACAGTTCGTGATATCTGTTTTCATAAATACAGTTTCAAGTGTCACAGAAATTTTGAGACTATATCCTCGTGCCATGGAGGATTTGCACAATTCGCAGAGGATTACAGTATTTAGCAAGCGATCGTTAAACCCGGTACATATTGAATAATCGTCGATACATTATCTTTAAAGAAGTTTATACTGTGATATTATTTGTAATCTTTTGCATCAGTAGGCATAAAAATTGTTCATGTAATCACCATGGATAAAGTATTATTTATTTATTTACAACATCAGTTAGTAATAAACTTTTAGCTACTATAAAATAAAAGAGTTTTATTTTCATACCTTCGTATTATCTTTTTTTATTACCCTGTAAATTTTAGTAATATTGAAACATAGGAAAACTTATTCAGATTTATATAAATTAATTTCCTTTATTCGTATCTATATCCGTTTTATTTTGCTCAACACATCTGTAGCGTTAGGGAAAATATATTATAGCGACTGTATAGTTAATGTGGTAAAGAAATTATAATACAAAAAAGATATAATGTAATAAAGAAGAAATACTAATGCACTTTTGGACTTCTCAAACGAAGCGTATCCAAATTTACCTTATGTTGACATTTACAAACTGTTAACATGATAATGAAGTCGTTGTTAATATACATGGATTAGAATAATCAACGTAATCATTAATCACAGTTATTACCATAATGAATCAGTAACACGATTAGATACATTAACATGGTTATTATACAATCCGACTTGAAATACGTTGATACGTGTAAATTCCACGTCATTACCGGCTAAGCGATAATTAATGAACGTGTGACAGTCCAAATCTTCTATTACTATTCTCTTTCTCACTTTCACTTTTCTTTCATCTCATACTCTATATACAGTATGTAGTCAGCACATAAAGTTTGATCGATTTGTTAGACACTTTTTAATTATAAAGCATATTCCGATTATCGATATTCTTTTCTTCTTATTCTAATGATCTTTTAATGTATACACACGCACATTATGTTACTTAATACATTTATTTAAATCTATCTGATAATTTTTAGATGCAAAAACCTTCGGAGTACTCTTTATTTGACATGTTTATAATTTTTAGTATACAAAAATCGCTTTATATCTCCCGGTTTTAATTTTAATAGAGAATTTTTAAAGAAATTGTCTCGATAAATAATCTTTTAATAAATTTTAAAATTTATTTGGCATTAAATCTCATGCTAATTTATGGCAAACTAAAATTTTGATAAAATAAAGCTGATAATTATGTTAAAACGGGCAATCAAATTTCATATATTCATATGCACAGCTTAATTTATAAAGAATTTTATACTTTAGTTATTTATGAGCCCAAAAATGTTATTGGTAATTTTATTAAAAATATATTGTTAAAGAGTACAGAACACTGCTAATTATTACGGATACTCGTTACGTATATTAGATGGTTTCATTACTAATTATAGTAACTTAATCACGATATGAATCAGATTTAATTTTTCATGGCTGCTTTTTGTACAGTGCTAACATAATAACAGATCATATATTCCATTTTTATTAAATTACACGGAAAAAAAGAATGATGTTGTATCAACAAGATCAGTGTAATTGAAATAAAATCGTTAAAACGTTAAAACATTAGTATTAATAAATAATAAACATAAAATTGTTGTCTTAATAATCTGGATATTTAGTTCAATGCTTAGAATTAAAATCCATAGCAAATATAATTGAATGAATAATTTACGTTTGTGGCAGCCAGTGACGTTAACGTTTAATTCAAGCAACTTCATTTTGTTTAATTCAACAACATTTTGTCCGTGTGGTAATAAGAATTCGAAGGAATAAAGACTATAGAGCCGTGACAACATGTTAGTGTCTAAATATTTCTTATTTTATAATTAGACACTAACATCCTGTAAATTTAAAATAGGAAATATTTAGACACTAACATTCTGTCACTGCTCTTTTGTCTTTGTTCCTTCAAATTTATGTTTGCCACACGAGAGCCTTATGAATTTTATTTATTTGTTAGTAATAAGCATTTGTTTATAACAAATTTTTTATATTATTGCTGTTAATTTATGTGATCATAAATCTCTGTTATTAAATAAATTCCATCTTACTCGGCAATCAATACTTCATCTTCCTCTCGTTTCCCTCCCCTTTATCGCAATTCATCCGCGAATGATTCATTATTAATGAGACTATTGCAATTATTGCGATTATTACAAACTGCTTGGCGATTCACCAAAGAAAAAAAAATACGTCGCATCTTTATTAAAATGATGTACAAATGCAAATGTAATCGCGCGTACTTTTAACATCGCGTTTCCAATTTTTATTAAAAAAAAATAGATACGTTGAGTACTGTCGCTTTTTGCCGCACTCCTCCACCTCGCTAAGAGAAGCTCCCCGAAGAGCATCGTTGGGCTTCCACGTGAGTAAAGCGGGTTTCGCGAGTGTGGAAATGTGGCACGTCACATTGTATAATACAATAACGTAACGACTTCTTTCCTCCCTTAAGCATCTTTCGCGTTTCCTCTCGACTCCGAGTCGCGCCCCGTGCGCGCGGTTAACGTCTCGTTCCGAAATAATCGAGACAAACGAGAGACACGCTCGTCAAATGTTTCCTTCCCTCCAGCTCGCAATTTGACATTTCTGAAGTATACAGTTCCTGAAAGAGGCGTTTCGTCTTACAATTAGACGTTCATAATTTTGCTTCTAACAGCTGTTTCGATATTTTCCTTCTTTACTGCTGTTTTGTAATTTCTTCATGATCTAATATTGTACATAACATGGGTGTATTTAACCGAGGGCGATATTAATAAAAATTTTTATTTTATTTATTTAAATAGAAATTTCTTTACCTTTATACGTTATATGTAAATACTGACTATTGCTTATTATCTAAATATATCTTGAAATTTGCGCTTTTCTCAATTTATCATTATTTAGTGATTTACTGGAGAATTTATATAAATATATCTACAAATATAAGAGCTTTATTTCTCAAGGAGAAAGCTGAAAATTACTATGGCTCTAGAAAATCTCATTTGCAAGAGTTGAAGAGATGAAAGTTGCTGATTGAAACGTCATAACCAACCTTAAATATCAATCAATGTGCCGTACGCTTTAGCTAAACGATTAATTTCTTTGGTTCCTGCAGATCTATCTATCTACACGTCGCAAACGTGTCTCACGCGACGTGAAATTATCGATTAACCATTTACCGTTTCTTTGTTAGATTACCGTTAAATCTCGCTCAACCGCGGCGCGTCAACTTTCTTCTTGAATCTCCTCGAGAATATGGAAGTTATGAAATTCTTGCTGACACCGTCGCGTTATTAATCGCGCAACCGCCCACGGAGCATTCATTCGCGGCGCAATGTATCGTTGACGCGACGTAGCTTACGCGCTTCCTTCGGCTATAGGAGAGCTTCGACAATTTTTAGAAATTTATTGCGTCCGCCGAAGCGAGAGAAAATGAAACGAGAAGGTCCGGAAGTTAGGCCCTTCGTGGGAAATATCATGCGTCTTGACGAACCGTCAAATCCTGATTGGTAATTCGTTACTTCGACAATACGCGTCGATTTTACTCCCTGTGCCACTTGCTTCGTAACTTCTCCAGATTGTGGTTGTGGTTGTGGTATCGCGCGGCATCAATCTGCTGCGTTCTATCTATCCCTTCTCTTCGCCCGCGTTTCGTAATAAAACTAGTTTATTTGAGCCTCGCGTTGGAACTGCGTCTTCTATCAGAGATAGCAACGACCTAAACGTCACAATTAATTTATTACCGAACAACAGTGTGTTGTAAGGTAAAAGAAAATTTTTAGTGTAATAAAATGTAGCGATTACTTAACATTATGATAAATATTATTGGCCATGGTTTATTTAAACACCTTTTTAAGTAACAACTAACGAAAGTTTTTGATTATACTGCAAAATTAGTAGAGAAAAGTCCCTTATTATGAGACAAGCTCCCAATACGAGACAGCAGGGCTTTCGCTAAATTAATAGGCATCTTCTCTATTGGTTTCATCGTGAATTTATTGCCCTTGGAGTGAAAAATTCATTGTTGGATCGTGTAATCGTTGTGAATAAAGATTTGTGATTAAATTTGGATGTTGAAAACCTGCTATCTCATATTAGAAGCCTATCTCATAGTAAAGGACTTTCCTCTATATCTGTAGTTACATTTTTGTTTCAACAGTTAAAAGAGCAGCGGTATATCGTTAAGTATTAGTGGCAAAGATGATTTTCGATACAGGACTTGCAAACTTCGTGTTAATAAATCGGATTACTAAGAGCTTAAGAGTTCATTAATTCTCTGTAATGCTCTTTATTCTTTTGATGAAAATTAAAGTTGCTGTACCAAGTAATTAGAAACGCTCTGTTCAGATTAGAATAAAGTATACGTGTAAAGTCGTAGGACTAAGTGACTTCGAGACAAAGGAATAAGAGATATAGCTTTTGTTCAGAATTATAGTTGCCTTTTACGATCAGAGGAGACACGGTCGTTGTTACTACGTTAATCCCTCCCCATCGTAAAACCTATAAAGAGCAGATGTAATACCCTACCGTTTTTTTATCGGCGATAAAACGCACTGCGAATAGTATCCACTGCCACAAAAGATGTGCGCTCTCTTTCTCTCTGGCACATAATCCATTTCTTATTAATTACACATCCGTCAGCACAAAAGTTTTTACATTAATTTCTATAAAATCGATAAAAATTTTTTTTTTGCTTTATAAAATACTACATCGCTTCTAAAACGTCTCATATTTTTCACATTTCACCGAAGTCCTCTTATCGTGTATAATTCACTGCGAAAAAGCGCGCGTAATTTTATTTATATTTCGTTCCGCGTTTGATAAATTTTTAACGAGATGACGATTTCGCTAGAGGCAAAAGTCCCGAGTCACTAGGACTATGCGATAGAGAAAGGAGGGCGAACGTCGCACTCAGTCGCCGGGGCGAAAGACGGTAGAATGAAAAAAAAGGCCGTTTCAAACGCAATGGACACACCTACGTAATCAAGCGGTGCGCTTAGGACCGCGCCGTTCGGCAAACAAACACGCAGCGAAAGGCAAAGTTACCCCCAGCTAAATTGGGTTAGTCGAAATCCGTTTACGCTAACTCTAATGGCGAAAGCGTGAGCCGCATGCGGCATCGACACCGAACTTCCGTCGAGAGTCGTCCGCGCAAGGGTGATTCGACGAGTGGTGTGCGCGCGCGAGGTCTTTATTCACCCGGTCAGCTTTTTGATCGTCAAATATTGATACCGAGGGTCCGCCGGTCCGCTCTTCGCTTCCATTTACTTTCCACGTTGTATATTACAGCGTAAATTACTGCGACACGGGGAGAATCTGGGACGGACCGATATTTCGATATGAAGAAATGTCCAGCCGACGATTTAACTGTTATTAATAATGGATATTAGATACGCTTGATTAGCTTCTTTATTTTCGCTTAGCGTGCCGGTAATCCAAACCCGCGTAATCGAAGCCTTACATTTCATTTGACATTTGCATGTTACAGCACGTGCACTGACGCGTTCTGTCCTCTGGCGATGGATAATGATGCAATTGAATTCGTGTCTATGATTAATAACCAAGAGACCACGGAATAACTTATGCCAGTAATGATCGATAAAATGTATCGATATCACGCAAAATTGATTAGTCGCGCGGGCAATGAATAATTCTGCCTGAAATGCATTAATGCCGACAATGTTAGTAAATTGTTAATCAAATATTTAATTAGTTAATGCATGTAATATTGATACGAGTGAGGAAGTTGCGCGTAGATTGCGCCAATGTACGGCGTATCAATAAACATTCGTACGCTTTGACATCGTGATAAAATAGTAAATAAATAAATAGCGTCAAACGTGAAATAAAATTCTTGAGCTGGCAAACTCGCAAACTCCACCGTTAGCCATTTCACGGAGGAAATTATAACGCTATTGTGTCTCTCGACGCTATTCTGCGGCATTTCTCGTAGTTTGCTCCACGGAATGTCGTTGAGATTGAGGGAGTTTGCTCGCCGGGAAAGCGACTTGATTCAACAACATTTTTCTCGTAACGCAGTTTTAAGTACGAACTCTATCTGTCGTGTTAGCGCGATCGAAGTTACGGGGACGGGGCTGTCGCGCAACACAATACGGCACGTCGAGATAGAGTCGGGCGTGGAGACATTATCGTAGCGGGACCAAAAACTCCAGAATCGCTTCGGAAATAAAGGGAGGGACTCTCTCTTTTCCCTGGTATCTCCGGCACCGACGTAATGGAGGTCGTATCTACTAGAGAGGTCGAACTCCCTTTTTTCCATCTCTCCCTCCGGAAAATGCACCACCGGGAGTGGAGACGCGGGCCCACGTGATTTCACTCCAGAGACCATAGCGTCGCCCCTTTTCTCGCCATCTTCGAGGTCTAGCGCAAATAAAACTAAACCGTACCCTCGTTCCAACATTGTTGATACGCATACCACAGCGGCTGTGCTAAAAAGCGTAGAGCAGTATCTCCCGGGCTTCTTCAAATTGCAATTCTTTTTAGGAAGTTGTTATACCGCAATGTAGGTAACGCTATTATGTTGTACTTTCAATGGTTTTCTATTCCATAATCGACTACTGTTTAAAATCAAATACTTTTTATACGTGTTTAAAAGTTTAAATTAGATTCTCAAATTATCTTTTAACTATAAAATTATTATAAATATAAGGTAAGTTTAGAATTACCTTCCGAATATTTTTCAGGCATTGCATACGTGCATTGGTTTTCTTTGAAAAAGCAGAAAAGTAAAGAAGTAAATTTAAAAATAATAAATATTTACATTCTCATTTGGCTAATAAATTCCAGCCAATCTCACGTCTCTAATCGTATGAGCTTACTTTTCGTTTTAAACAAACATCATAAATCGTAATCTACTGGTTGTTACTTTCAACAAATGATCCCGTACAAAACCGTGCTGGCCATTTAAGCAATTAATTTACCCGCGAAAAAGCATGGCCTCCAGCAGATTGCATTTTGCTGGGCTGTTCGGATCCTGATTTTATGAGGTCAGTTATTTTACGCCTGCATTGTTTCTCCAATAGTTGTCCATTTGACCAAAACCCTATACCGATAAACAAATATTTGAGCGATGTTACGATGACGTGTAGAAATGGAATACCTGTATTTATTACGACGAAATATAACAAAAATCTTATTTATTTAAATACGATGACAAAACAAACAAGTATTTTATTATTACATGCATATTTCAAGCTTAAATTTGTAGCAATACATTTTAAGTGTATTGTTACAAATAAATTCTATTTATTAAACTTGACTCATTTACTTTAACTCTTCGCTAACTTTTCTGTTTAATACCTTCTGCTTTAATATTGTATTGCGAGTTTCTTCTTTTTATTTTCCAGGTCGAACACGCACGGAAGATGACGGTCATTTAAGAATCTCCTCCGACGTGTGCGACGAGTTTCCGAAGATGTGCAGTTTGGTGTTGAAGTGTCGGTGAAATCGGGGCAACTTCCCGTACCTATGATTTCCTTTCCTTTCCCCCGTCGCACTTTGTCTTACGGAAAATCCGCACGAACGATGTCATAGTCGTCCAAGTGCGAATTATCTTCACGTTGGACACGATGGCACTGTTGTTCGTCATAATCGTCATTTCGATCACCACTGCCATGTCGCTGCCGCCGGTCATTAGAATCGGTGAGTAAATATCGACCCAAAATGTGAGCTTTCAGTTTACTTGTGCGCAAGGCACAGTTGTTATTAGCGCCATCATTTAATGTGTCTCTTTGTACACAATAATATAACTTAATTATTTAATAATTAATTAATTATGACGTATATCTGAAAGCTGCCCTATGTTTCACAATATAATATATCTACGCCCACCAAACATTTTATATAAAATATTGTAATTAAGGCGAGCTATTGTTGCTTTTAACGCAATAAAGACGTTAATTGAAAATCCATTACTTTTTCCATGTAAAATTATAATTGAGAATATGTTTCCTTTTTCCTCTATTTTCTTTTTGTTGCACTGGAAATTTCTAATTCTGAAAATATATTTTAAATCAAATAAAATGCACTATGCTCTCGCTTTGCGTTCTTATGACTCATTTTCCACGCACAATTATATGTGTAAAGCGTTTGCGTACAAATAATGTAACTTGTACCGTGTGTACAAGTAATTCGTTTGTAAACTATTAATTTGTCCCACCAATTGTATACAATTTTGTGTCATACGCGTGCAAAACGATGTCAGTAGCGATTAATTGAATATATGGATTTACTTCATTCGCGAATTTTTTACAAATACAGATAATACATAAGCAAATTGCGAAACGTTCTCTGTAAAGAAATGCAAATGTTAACGTAGAACGGCATGGATTATACTCTCGAATATTTGAGAGAGCTACATTGTTTTTATCAGGAATCTCCAAAAGATATAATTTTCTCCAATTATATAACGTATTAAACGTATTAAACGCATCCTCGAGCTATGTACAAGAATTAGCTGTCAAGTTTTATGTCGCAATTTCACGTTCGAAGCAGTTTGGGGAACAATAATAATTTCGCATTCTCTTGTGCATTACGTTCAACGAAGTTGCCAAGAACGGCAGCCACAAGTCGGTCCCAGGCCTCGATCCTCCGCGCATAGAGGATCGTCTTTAGCTTTTTCCGCTACGCGGGCCGCGGGAACTTGCCGGAAACTTTCCACCGGTTGATTACGCTTCGCTGCAGCAGGTAGACGGCGCGCGCGGTTTGGAATTACAGAGTACGCCTCTAAGTACGCGCGGAGATCGAATCTTCACTCGCGCGCGCCCGCGTTTTCGCCCGGTACGGTTCCATTAGTATTCCAGAGTGTGCTCGCGTGGGTGTAGGGCAGACGTGTCTGTGCGTAGGATGCCGGACTTGGACTTGGGGCTGGTGCGATACGCACCAGCCGTTCGGTGACACGCACGCACGCATACACGCGTCCGTGACGCCGGGAGCAAAGCGGAGCTCGAGGCCGCTCGCTCGCCGGTTAAGTCTAGCGGTAGAAAAGTTTTCCGTCGATCTAATTGGTTGAATTTCTCTGTGGGGCAACCGCCTCGGGGGAAACTTGTCCGCAATTTCCTATGATGTCGGCGAGAATGAAGAGAGGGCGATAAGGCGAGCGGGCTTGTCAAGATGGGGCGTGCGCGTCCGCGTATATAAGACGAATGGGGGTCCGAAAGAAAGTAAGGCGTCCCCAAAGGACGGGGACGCTCTGGCATCTCGAGGCGCGGCGACTTTTCGAAACCACGAAGAAAATACGGAGGATATTGCGTATTCATGTCCGCCACTATAATTTTCCTCGTATTCAGGAGTCGTAATTGAATTATCTATTACTTACACAGTGCGGTCAAAAATGTATAAATGGCAATAGAAATTGCTATGACTAATTGAACAAATGGTGAAAAAAGAAATTAAAGTGTTTTGTATACATATGTGAACCCAAAGTTTTTGAATCTTAACAATAACGTGGTATCAATAATTTCCACGAAAATCCGCAGCAATAAGTTTTTTGAATAACAAACACG